AGCTATAGGCAAGAAAGATTTAGTATGTAAACTGAAGAAATCTCTTTATGGATTGAAGCAATCACCGCGACAATGGTACAGGAAATTCGACAGTTTCATGATTGGCCAAGGGTACATGAGGAGCCCATATGACCCGTATGTATACATGCACAAGTTACCGAATGGTGAGTATATTTATTTGTTGTTATATGTTGATGATATACTCATTACTTCCAGGAATACTTCAGCTATTACAACGTTGAAAAAAGAGATGTCATCCGAATTTGAGATGAAGGATCTTGGAGAAGCAAAAAAAATATTGGGTATGGAGATTGAGAGAGATAGGGTGAAGGGGAGGTTAAAGTTGATACAGAGGAGCTACTTGCAGAAGATGCTGAAGAAATTCAGCTTTGATGGCAATGCCAAGGCGGTGAGTACTTCATTGGCTTCCCATTTTAAGTTTTTAGCTAAGATGTCACCTATTTCAGTTGAGGATCATGACTATATGTCTAAAGTTCTATATGCCAATACAGTGGGTAGCTTGATGTATGTGATGGTGTGTACAATGCCAGATTTATCACAGGCCGTGAGTATGGTGTCCATGTACATGCACGACCCCGGGAAGGGTCATTGGAAGGCTGTGAAGTAGATTCTACGATATATCAAAGGTACTGTGGATGTTGGTTTGGTATTTCAGAAGAATGAGAAGATTGGGCAAGATTGTGTTGGATATGTGGATTCAGACTATGCGGGGGATGTTGACAAACACCGGTCTACTATAGGATGTGTATTTACATTGGCAGGAGCACCAGCGCGTTAGAGGTGTACACTTCAGTCTACAATGGCTCTCTCCACTACGGAAGTTGAGTATATGGCATTGACTGAAGCTATGAAAGAGGTTTTGTGGTTGTAGGGATTATTAGAAGACTTGGGAATTGCACAGGAGACCATCAGGGTGAATTGTGATAGCATGTCAATTATCTATTTGGCAAAAAACCAGGTATATCATGCATGCACAAAAGCACATTGATGTTAGATTTTACTTTGTTCGAGATGTCTTAAATGATAGAGATGTTATATTAGAAAAGATCCACACAAAGGACAATCTGGCATATATGTTGACCAAAGTTGTCACCGGGGTGAAATTTGGTCATTGTTTGGAGTTATTGAACATTCTTCGGTGTTGAGAGCCTTTTGGAGTCTATTTGGGTGAACTACGTGAGGCTTGATTCCTTGGGCAAGAGGATACGTAGGCAGTCATTTTTATGATGCAGCCAGTTTGATGAGTTGATACCTACATGATGGAGATTGTTCGCATTCTCATAAGGTTCCCGAATTGTTATGCATTGAGTCCGTTGTCGTGGATTGATTCCACTTCATACTGGACACAACAAGTGAGACGTTTGGTTGGTATTTATGTCAGCTCAGTTTTGAGGAAACTTCACCGAGGTGGAGAATTATAGAAATGGCGACGAAGTTCAGGAAAAGCGAAGCAGACAGGCACTTGGATGCTGTTCAGTCGACCGCGGGGTATGGCCCGGTTGACTGGAAACGTGCACACTACAGGGTGCATTTTTGGATCTCTAGTCGGTCGACCGCAAGGCTAAGCCTGGTCGACCGCAACCCTGTAATTGCCAGGCTGAGTTTTCAGCCCTCTGGTCGGTCGACCGCGAGGTCAATGGCGATCGACCGCGACTCGGGTATGGGCCTGGGCTTGGTTTCGTGATTTGTTTGAGATTAGTGTTTGATATAAATACAAACACGATTTGTTTAGGGTATATATCTCTGAAAACACAGAAGAGAGACTTTTGAGCTGTGTGATTGGGAGATTTGGTGAGAGATTTGAGAGAGATTAATTTGTGAGTTTTGAGTGAATTTGTAATCTCTATTTGTAATCTCTCTCTAATAGTAAAATTTATCCCCTCCTTGTCCCGTGGACGTAGACAACTTGTCGAACCACGTAAAATCCGTGTCTTGCATTGTTTAGTGCTTATTTTACCTATTGGTTGTGATTCTCTCTTAGTTTGGTTGTGTTCTTTTCGGATTCCGCTGCGCATAACACCAATTTCACTTAGAAATTATAAACTATTTGCTTTTTATCATATTTTACCTAAGATTTATTAAGCATAGACTATCAAGCCACTTAAGAAAAGAATAACCTATTAAATTATTATCCAAGTAAAGTTAATATTCATAAAAAAATAACAACTAAATATTAATTCTAGAATTTTTTTTTACCAATTAGTTCTTTAATTGATTACCCTAAACATGGTTATTTTAAGCACAAGAGAATAATTTACAAATTATAAAAGAAATCAAACTAGTTTTTATAATTTTAGAATTCCTACAAGAATTAGTTCTACATCTTAAAAAATAAAGATAAAAAAATCTAGACCAGAGAGAATAAAAGAAAGAGAATGAAAATAAGAACTAACTACAAAGAGACAAATAAGAATAAAGATTAAAGATCTAAACTATGAGAAAAAAGAAAGAACATAAAATAAAATCTAAACTATAGAAGAATATAAATCTATACTACCAAATAAAAAGGTAAAAAAATAATGTAAAAATAAAGATATAAAAGTAAATCTGCTCTACAGTGCATCAAAATAAATCTAAAATAAGAGGGTTCTAGCCCCTTGAATATCTAAAATAGGAAAAAATATTATAAGAAAATAAAAGATAAAAGGAAAAATTTACATTGCAAGAAGGGTCTAGCCTCTTGAAAGCAAACATTCATCTTCATCTTCATCATCAAATAAAGAGAAAAAAAGAAAAATATGAAGAGGTGAAAAAATTATTTTTTTAATTGCAATAAAATTATAATTTTTGGAAGGTCTTCTCAATTAAGAGTAAATGTTCTCCCCAAATGGAGTTCTTATAAAAAAATTTACACTCAAAGCCCTCACACTCTACCCCAATTTATAGCCTATAGCAAGCAATAAGAACCATTTAATTTTACTTAGGCTTCAAGGATTAAATTTTGGCCACAAAATAAGTTTATTATGAACCAATTAGTCAGTAAATCAATTGACCAATTAGTTGACCAACCGATTGAAATTTCAAAATTCTAAAAATATAGATAACTTTGTATCGTCGAAATAGGTGATTTTCATATATTATATGTTAAATTACGTTTTCCGGATTGGAAGATATCGTCATTTCTTTGTGGCTAATAATCTTGAGCATGATTTCAACTTGATTTCTTTTTATATTGGATCCTTACTTCTTCGGCTTCTCTAGATCGCTTGGCTTAATCCCGGACTTCAATAAAAGTTTAAAAAATGAGAAAATTTGAGTTCTCTTTCAGCTCTTATTCATTAAATCTTCATTAACCTGTAAATTAAGATAAAATATGCTATTAGTGACATATTTATTTAATAAGATAGATAATGGGGATATACAAATGTAATAAAAATATGATTATCAAATACCCTCATACCTAAACTTTTGCTAGTCCCCTAACAAAGAAAGAAAATAAAAAGGAAAGAGAAAAAAATTCTAACTCACTTTCGCAAGAATCGCGGTTGCATTTAGCATATACAATAAGCCTTTAAACCCTTAGGTTACCCTAGAGGACGCGTTGTAGTCTCGTGAGAATTTACAGTGAATATACCCACGAATTTCAGTCAACTTGCCAATTTAAAAAAGTAAGTGAATAATTAATTTAATTGATATATTTAAACATTCTAATTGAAGCTAGTTTTTACTCAAAAAATGTTTTTATATATTACTCTAAGGTAAATCTCTTTGAAAATCTTTTCATTATAGTTATACAAAATCAAGTTTAACTTAGAAATTTTATTTAAAAGTTTTAAAAAGAATATGCTAACTCTTTGTTTCAAATACTTTTTAAGTCTTTTGATCAATTTATTTTTCAAAAATATATACAAAATAACTATATATAAAAAAATTGTTTGTGTGTGTGTGTGTATAACTTTTATTTTTAACATTTAATTCCTTGGTGATTTTGTTCTACTTCATCGGGTGTTATAAGTAACAATTTAATAAGTTTTTGGCCAATGAATCCCAATCCAATTGGGCTTAGGTCATTAAGCATGAAAATATTCATTGAGCTTAATTACTCGATCAACTTAGGCTTTATAAGAGAGAACCATTTTGAATTTCAAGAGAATTTTTATTACCCATTTTTCACACTCTTCTTTTTGCTAAGCATGCGAAAATTTTATTACTTTAATTAAAAGTCTATGTTAAAACTTTAATGAAGTATACTACTTTGAAAGTCGTTTCTTAATAGATTTATTTGGAGTTATTATAAAAGGTTAACTTGAATATAAAATTAACTAAGAATCAGAAAATTTAAAATTTACCGTTTTAGAGAAAGGAAGAGGAAGCGATTAAAGAAAATTACTGGCACTAGGATCGTATAGGGGTTAGATGGATCACATACGGGTCAACCTTGGCTACCTATTTAAATAAATGAGTTGTTCAGGTTGACCCCTACGGGACCCGAACCCATGTATCCCACCCTAAGGGGCTGTTTGGTTCCTGTTTTTTGGGTGGTAAAAGTGGGGAAAGCTGTCAAAAAAGTCAGCTTTTTGGCAGCTTTCCCCCAAAAGCACCTCTTAAAAAGGTAATTTTGGGAGAAAGCTGCCAAAAAGCTGACATTTTTGACAGCTTTCTCCTTTTTTACCATCCAAAAAAACCTATCCAAACAGCCCCTAACCCGTTAATAACGGGTTGGGTGGGGTTGGGTCCACGGGTACAGCTCAGTTTTGTCACCCTTACGGGCCGGAGCCACACTTTCGTATAGTTGTTTTTGGGCCACACTTTTGGCCCGTTTTCCGTCCAGACCCCGCTAGCCGAAGAAAAGTAGAAGGAAAAGGGGACAATAGCCAATCCCCCCCTCTCTCTCTCGCTCGATTTCTGACCTCTAAGTAATTCTCCAAAATGCTTCGAAGGTCAATCTCTCTCTCTTTCCAGTAGCCCTTAGGGTTTATTGATTTCAATCATTTTGTAAGGTAGGGTTAGGGTTTCATCTCTTGTTTCGTTTCTAATGATCGCAGGTGCATTTGGGAGCTTTTGTCCACTCGATCCATCGCCTCGAGGCGCAGAGCGATGACAGCGCAGGTTCCTATTTCGAATTCAGGCGTTTCGACTTTCACCATCTTTCTATTTCTTGCTAACGTTTGATTAGGTCGACAAAAACTTTTTAGAGAGAGAGAGAGAGAGAATAACTTCACTCACAAGCTAATCTTTTATAAAGTATAAATTTTTCTATGGAAGGCAATAGTCATAGGATGGAAATCTGGTGCCCATCACCTGTACATTAGCAATTAGATCGAGTTTTATGGAGAAATTTAAATTCTAGCGGCACTTTCATTTTGCAATCTTCTTTTAATGGGTATCCTTGAATGGTTTCTTGAGCCCCCGTGGGGTACGGGTCCGTGAAAGACTTATAGAAATCTTATACGGAAGTTTGCCTTAACTAGTGATGGACAACTGGAAAGCTTGCCACAATCTTGAGTACCTGTTGGTTGGCACCATCCGAATTCAATTGAACTGTAGAAATTAAATTTTATGGGAATTGCATTCAACTGCGAGGCGCTTGTAAATCCAACAGGTGTTAACATATTCTTCCCACTACTACGGCGCTGCAGCGCATGAGGGAAGCAATCGTATCTTGATTCATATATTTCGATCTCCGCATTAATCTCATTAATGTCTTCAAATAAGTTTTGTCAGCTAGGTTGTTAGTGCGTGGATTTTTGTCTACTAACCTATATCTTGGTGAAAGCAGACCCCATTTTTCCTTTCCTCAAGGAATGAATTCTCCACTTCATCTGCGAAAAAGCCACGGGAAACACCTCCTTCTCCAGAAGGAACTGCTGGCTCTGGGGGTTCCCTCAAGAAGCTTGTCCTTGGGAGTGCGGTTGTCGGTGCTGCTGCTATGGCAGCTTATCAAACTGGCTACATAGACTTTCTTGTCGAGGCCCCTAAGGATGAACAACCTAGACCTAGTGACCTGAAAGCTGTTGAAACGTTGAAGCATATGGAGCATCGCAATGAAGGTGTAACTCTTCCAAGTGTGGAAAATCCGAGTGAGCTGAAACGGAACAGAGAAGATACTGAGAAAACTGAACATTATCAACGTACAGGTGCGGATGTGAATCACGGAAGTGGTTCAGAATTTAAACCTGCTGTAGAGGATACTGTAACTGCCAAAGAAAATGAGTTGTCAAATTTAGCTCAGACTACGACATCTCCTGGTGAGCAAACAGTTGGTTCCAGAATATCGTCTGAAGGCAATCTCATTGAGGATAAAGATGAAAGTTCTGAGCTTGAACAAAAGAATCAGCCTGAAAATTCTAGAGTAGAGGACGGTGTTATAGACAATTCAGTTCAAGCATCTGAAGGAAGTGCTACGCAGGATGCTGCTTCTCATCAGGATATAACCATGGAAGTGTCAAAGGTCAGGCACCTGGATTTTTTTTCAGATGTTATATTATTCTACTAGTTAATGATAACCATAGTACCCATTCTTCGTCTGCATTTTTCTCGTGGCAACACTTTCTACCAGGAAAATGCTACGTGTAAGCTGTAACTTCCGGAACCATTCTTTTCTGTATGATTTTCCTTCCACCTCCATGTATAATAAAATAAAAACTTGCATACTTGCATACATGTTGCCTGTAGTATTTTACGTATGAGGAGCTATGCTTCTTATATTAATGTTACCTTGATATTTAAATATCTGGACTACTAATATGTGCTGTTTTTGTCTCTTCGAATTATCACAGCTTGATAACTACGATTTCTCCCAGCATATAAGTCAGATAATTATTGGTGTAAAATTACCTTTGACTACACCAAAGCGTAGGAGGTCTTATGAGGGCATAGGTTTATAATTTTGAACTCTTAATATACCTCCGCAAGTTGAGTACTCTTTTCATGGGCTGAAACCATGTCTTACGCTGTGTTATCTTACGCTGTGTTATGTTTTTTGTAATCCGATTTAAATGCATGGTCAATGAGATTTGAAGCTGGTGTGCTCCGGAACCATGTCGAATCCCTTCCACTAAACCCAACCCAACCTCCGGTGTTGTGGTTATGGCTGAGGGTTATAATTTAATACTCTAATGTTAGCTTTGTAGATTATGAAAAAAAATCAAAAATTGAAGTCTTCTTTTACCAGTAACATATGTTTCTTTTACTTTCTGACTTACATTTGTTTATCCCATGCTACTGCATGCCATTAAGTTAAATCTTTGGTGTGTTTGATGATAAAATTTAGCCTAAAATGGCTAGATTTTTCCACACATGTAAGTTATAGGAGTTAAGATGTAGGAGTTCAAGAGTAGCATTGATAATTTTTTGAAAGTATTTATACTATCCATCTACTTTTGTGACTTGGGAGAGATCGTAGAGTCATCATTCCATCTTTTAGGTGGAATTATCCTAATTCTTGACAGGACAAGATTTCATCTTATTCTCCTCCTAGTGCATAATTCCTAAATTATTCTTCTAGCCAAATAATGACTCGAAAAATGGTTATGGTTACTATGCCAAGGATTTTAGTTTCATGATATCAAGGACCATGCGCTGAACCTGGAGTGAACTATGCTCAAGGTCTCAGATCTGGTGCTTATAAAAAAGGTCATAAGAAATGCTTTTCATCCTTATATCAGATAGGGGATGAAGGTTAGTAAGAAAAACATTGTGCATGCATTGTTTCATCACTTTGAATGTTACTTGCTCCGGCTATATCCAGTGTTAGATGAATGAAAATTGTAGCTAGGTTTCCAATGAAAGAATGACATTTATTAGATCAGTAGTATCAGAGACAGCTTAGTTCATCCATAGTACTGGAAAGGTTATCTTTCTTGCCTTAACCAATCCTGTTTATATTTAATGTTTTCTCATACAGGATGCAGTTAATGAGGAAGGAGAGGCGCCAAAATCACTTGCCGATTCGTATTCGCTAAATGCAGTTGAAGTTAATTCTGACTCTTCTGCAAAAAGAGCTATGACTGATCCTGTGGTAGTAATGTTTAACGAAAAAGAGGTTATTCCATGGCAAGAACTTAAAACTTTTATCATTATATGTGATCCTTTCCTATCGTTTCTTCATCCTTATTATTTGTCTCTTAGCTGTTGCCATATGTTCTCTAAAAATGAAGGTTTCTGTGGCTGAAAGTGGAAAATCCAAGGACAAGAACAAACCAAATAATGATAAAGTAGAAGTTTATCTTACAGAAGTTATCCATGCTGCTGAAGAAAGGCAGGCTAAGAAAGACGCATACATCTTCGCTGAAGAAAACCGGAAGTTGAAGGTTGATTTTCTTACACAAATTTTGCAGTGCTCTTCTGTAATATGGATTGCAGTATAGTTTATAATTGGATCTTGGTCCTTTAGTTTTCTTCTAGTAATAGATTCATCTTGCTGATATCAAGTTAACTTAAATTACTTGCAAAGCAGTGTGCTTTAAATTAAAACATTGTTTTTGAGATTATAACTTCATCTGATTATTTTCTTGTTAACATTAAGGATTCAGCTGTGCAGCAGACACCAATGAGTATACACAGGAAATTAGAGGTAGCCTTTAACAATAAGATGAAGTTAGGAGCAGTATTACTAGTTCACTATTTTTTCGATCTCAGACATGATATAACACTTGGATGCCCATGGCCATTAGCAGCCACTTATAGCATATAATCAAAGGAAAGTAGGATATATTGGTATCAAAAGATGGCTTAGAAAGAAAATATAGAAAGCTATAACGCAATAATTGACAAAAGAAGTATTAACCATTAAGGCATCCATCCAAACCCATGTCGTATCGTTTTTAGCTATGTTAATATCACAAGATAGGTAAACAAGTAGTGCAAACACGAGCCTTTCTTTGTTACAGACACACATGTTCGGTATCTTCTGTATTGAAGGCTCTAGGATACTTAAAGCTCATGTCCCTTTTGCAGCTTCTGAGTAAAATTTGATTAGATCATTGTAGCTGCAGCAGACAATAGACCAAAAGGAACATGGATTGGGAAAGTAGGGAGGGGAGCATGCTGATTGTTAAATCTAAGAACAGACATGGTCCTTTACATGGATGAATGAAGAAAAAAGACTCATTTCTGCGACCACAAAAATTTGGGATGAAAGCTTGTTGCTGTTGCTTTTCTTTTTTGTTTATTATACTTACCTTATTGAACTTGTACAATGATGTATATAATGTGAAGATATGCCACGCTTCTTGCTTCATAGAGACATAACTGAGAGGGTCACCTTTTTTTGGCTTGGTTTTTGTGTGTGTGTTTTTTGCGGGGGGGTTGTCCTTTTCTCTTGGTTCTTATTTTATTTTATGTCAATGAAGTCCCCTGGATGAAAGAAAAGCCATTCACAGATGAGATATAAAAGGTTGTTGCTTTATAGAATATATTAATATATATGAGACTGTTCATATACTGGAGTAGTCTTCTGAGTATTCCTTTCTTGTTGATTTCCATTTCAGGAAAAATATGAGAAGGAGTTGAAGGATGCTAGGGCAAGGGAGCTTATGTATGCTGAAGAAGCAGCAATTCTTGATAAGGTTTGACAGGTTTAAAATTATTATCATTTTTTTGTTTAGATCTTTTTCTCAATATTCTTGGTGTGGTCTAGAGACTATACTATCCCATGCTGCTTCAGTTTTTCTCAATGATTCTAGTTAAATGCTGAAGCTATGTTTAATCTTTGTAGCAATCTTTCAAAAATCACATTGTAGTGATTTGTCATGTGAGCTTGGTTATTGAACGTATTTTTAATTAGTTGCATTTAAATATGTTGTTTTGCTACCATCCGCTGGACTAGAAATTACATGAACTTAAATGAAGATATTATTTCTTATGCAGTAATTTTAACATATTGTTCTCAAAGTCTGTAGGTTAACTGCATACTGTCAACAGTAATTACTTTAATTAGTATAAAGGGGTGCCTCGGCGCAATGGTAAACTTATCATCGTGTGAGCTGGAGGTTAAATATTTGAGTTGAGCAACATCCTTTTGCAAAAATTGCAAGTTAAGGCTGCATGCAATAGACCAAAATAGTACGACACCTTCCTGAATCCTTCGCATAGCAGGATTTGTGCACTGGCCTGTCCTTTCGGTATGGTTCCTTGTCAACCAAAAAGAGAGGGAGAGACCTTTAATGATGTAGTGGTTTTGTGTGTGTGTGTGTGTAAGGAGGGGGGCTAGTTATTGCAATAACTATGATAGCAAAGGGTTCGGAAGAGATCTTGGGAGCAATCACGGGAGATAAAGGTGATAGAGGGTGGTAGTGCTTGACCTGGGGGGTGGAGGTTATCCAGATATGATGAGAATGACTATCGTTGTGCACGTGTGTGAAGCTCGTTCGATTGCAAGAGGATGGATGAGGCCAACTGTTTGGGAGGAAGTTGAAAAAGGGAAATGCGATCGTAAAATGCAGAAAATAAGCAATGGTTAATTTATATATTTATTTATTTCCGTGCCAGGGGGGATGGTGGTGATTTAGGTGCTTTTAAGAAGTAGGTGGCCAATTGTGAGGGAGCAAGATTGAGAAATTATGACATCTAGCAATATTCTAAATTACTAGTTAGTTAAATGATTAATCAAATTAGAGTTAATCTTTTCTACATCTGAGAAATCTTAATTAACTTTTCATGTTAACTTTGATCATTTTAATGAGCTCACATGATATAAACCGCTCCATGTAGATTATCTTTTCTATGATTATTTGATATTTATTAGACTTGCTTCCTAAAGAATCATGCACCATCATATATATCAACAATCCACTTGATATCCAATTATAATCTCCGTCTAATTTCTGAAAAATTAAATATTATCATATTACGAACTTTTTATATTTAAATGATTTACAATGGAAGCATGAATAACCTTAAGTGTAGTGGTAATATGTAGGGGTGGAAACGAATCAAATAATTAACAAATAGTTAGTGTATCACTTGTCCATTTAGCTGTAAATGAATAGATTTAGAAATTTAGATATTCGGTTCGTAAACGAATAGAATATAACTAGATGTAAATTTGATTTATTTAGTTATCAAATATTCGTTTATGTTTTACATTTCAATTGTATATATTTAATTGATTACCACTCAAAATAAATTTATGTAGATATTGAAGATGAAAGCGTATTAAAAATGTCAAACTAAAATAAAGCAAAGTAGTACCTAAAGAAAGCAACATTAGAAGCGTCAGGATTAAATAAACACTACTTAGACTTAGGCTTGAACCCAGTTGGCAGGCTCAACCAACTGAGATAGCAACAAATATAACTAGCCAACCAAGTATAACTGTTAGATAAACTCTCAAAATGAAACATAAGAAAATAAAGCCTAGCAAGGGAATCGAACCAAAGAGATCTCCTAGGTTAACAATTATAAGACTTATCAGTAGTGCTAAACGAAGATTCGTGAATAGTTAGTGAATACGTCATATTAAAACAAATTGAATTTGGATACAGGTTTCATATTCGAACATATCATATTTGGTCATATTCAAAGTCAATATCCCATTATTTAATTTGATTTGCTTCCACCTGTACTGATAAGCATGCTCTTTTCACATGTGAATTTGAGAAACCTTCACCTTTTGCACCACAAGGTTGTGATGTTGCCACCTATTGTTGGAGAGAGGGATTTGCAACAAGTGGGTTTCACAATTGAAGTAGATCGGGGGTGATGGTGGTGACTGGCATGGTGATGAAGGTGATGGTACATGGTAGTGCTAGAGACGATGAGGATGATGATGGTGAGGATGATAATCCATTGCAACAGGTGGAAGGACAGGGTTCAGTTCATTTTAGATCTTGTATGAAGTATAGGCAAATTATGGGGAAAGTGTGAGACGTATTCAATGTTTTCAAAGGCACGCGCCTCATTGCGCCTTACGATGCGGGGCGGTGACGAAGCGCCCAACATCTGATGCAGTAGCGCCTTTTGCGCCTCGCGTACATCCTTATTTTGTGTAGGGTGCATATAGTACATATCCTCATATAGTTTTATTTGTTAACATTTCAATCGAGTCTTTATACTTGATATTCCATATCCCAAAAAGGAAAATAAACCCATTAGGCCTTTTTAATAGCCTTCAATTGAGGACAATTACAAATCCTTTGCTTGGATATTAATCTTGATTTAACATTTGATTTAAAAATTTATGAATTTTGCTACTATGTTGGGTGTTAGCATTAGAAATTAAGACATTATATTGTGATTTTGTAGTAAGATATTATTTATCATTATATTTTTCATGTAAATTCTAAAAACATGTTCTTTCGCGCTTGATTACATATATTGAAAAATTATGTGTGCGGTGGGCGCCTCGCATCACTCGGGCGCGCGCATCGCGTTGCGCCTTGCGCATATGCGCGTAAAGATGCTTTGCTCCCCGCATTGCGCTTCGCGCATTGACAACACTAGACATAACATTTTTTACTAATTCATTGAATTTGTGATTTAACATGCGTTAAGAATAATTAACTCTTCATGATCAACTTCAGTTATTTAGCAATTGTTTATGATTTTGATTTAATTTTTATAAGTAATATCCCAACAACTCTTATATTCCTAGCAGGCTTATTGAGGCGCGCGCCTCGGGCGCGCCCCGGGCGCGGGGCGCTTCGGCCTGGGGGAAATGCGCCCCGCACGCGAGGCGGGGCGCTGCACGCAGCGAGGCGCGCGCCTCGCGTGCGCCTCGCGTGCGCCTCACTTGCGCCTCGCGTGCGCCTCACACCTGCGTTATGTAACATACTCTTTCTTCTATTTTTTTTAAATAATTTACATAATTACGTATTTATATCATGTAATATACTCTTTCTTACTAGTTGCTAATCTATTTTCATCTTTTTATGTTTAACCTATAAAAAGGAAACAATAATTAGTAATTTAGTATACTTGTTTGCTAATTGTAACTTCATTCTCTAATTAGCATGCTAACTAGCAAATTATAAACATGTAAATATGTAATTGTTACATTCATTCTTCATCTTTTCATGCTAAGTAGCAAATATCAATTAAGAATACTAACTAGAAAATTATGAACAGTCATGTTTGTTAATTATATTTCTTAGTCTTTTATGTGACAATTTATAAACATATGCTCATAATTGTTAATCACTTAATTTGATGATTTAAATACATGTTTCTTGTATCTTTTTTATTACTTTAAAAATTCAGTTAGCATAATTTGATGATTTAAGTTGATATTCTCATAATTTTGGATGTAGGTAACTAATATGTTGCTTATATGTTTCTGTCTTATGATGTTGGCAAATATTAGTTTGAGTTATGCGCCTCAATTAGTGAGGCGTGCGCCTCGTTGTGCGCTTTGCGCATGGTGCGCGTAAGGGACCTTTGCGCCCCGCATTGCGCTTTGCGCCTCGATAACACTGATTCCTAGTGTTAAAGAAAGTCATGAACCCTAAACTCTCACCACATATTTCGGAGTTTTAGTATTGTAAAAGGGATTTAAAGATGGTATTATATCAATCAATATTCAAACCCCACTAGACACACAAGTATATTTTATAAGAAAAAAATGTACAATATGTAAAATAGCACAAGTTTGGACTTATTGAAATGATTTACAACTTCTGGGGACATCTTAGAACATAAAATTATAAATCCTCAACCCTCACAATGTCATCAAAGTTTCAGTGTACTGGAAAAGACATTAAGATCAAGAGTCACATGACTCACGTTTCACATTGCAGCCTCAACCAAGGACAAAATATTAGGTGGTAACACACCTGTTAGAGTTTTCTAACAAAATTGCATCATTGAGAAATGAAGCTCCACCCACATACCGTCATACAGATAGTTATAGCCAAGAGTACGAGTTTATAATAGCTTCTTTAAATCAAACTCAAACATTAACAGCATTGGGATCTGATTCCAAATTAACAAAATGCCAAATGCTCTTGATAGCAAACAAAGTTCGGTTATCTGTAGTTATGGGACTCATTTTCAATGAATTCCTTTCCAAAAGTAGTACCTTCCACAAGTTTCGTTTGAATCGAGAAATTAGGATTATAAAAGAGAATTCACAATTGCTAGGCAGGCACTCAAATTGGCATGAGGTTGCTTTTAGCTTTGATATTCTATCAAGTAAGTCAGGAAGCTAACTAGGACAGTTGAGGATTCAGAGATACTCATGAACCAACTGAAGACTGAAGAAAGATCCTTGGAGACTTTGCCGTGTAATAGTCAAGGCTTTTCCCCCTAGGCACATCTTGAAAGTAGATAAACACAGATACATACACAAGCTACTGATAAGTCACCCTTATTTTTTAATCTCATCATTTTTCCATGCATAAGAGAGAAAGCAGTAAAAATGTGTTTAGCCGGTAATTGACAAGTCGACAAGTCACCCTCACTTTTCAGTCTCTCTTCACTTGTCACGTGCAAAGGAGAGAAAGCAATAATAACATTATTTTGCAGCTAGTTTTGGGCATATCCGTCTATAATCTATCTTCTTTATTTAGTATAATAACTTTGGGAATGAATTTTGAGAATTCACCTAACAGACTGAACGAAAAACCAGCATTCTCTACTCGAATACTCCCATTGAAGTCAAAAGCATGAATCCCTCAATCCTTAATGGACTTTCATTGAAACTCGAAAAGAAACTATCTTGTTTGTAGTTCCAACATTACTAAAGAAAATCTCTTTTTTCTTTTCCATGTTGCCTCAATAAAATGGGGTAATATTATACTGAGATCTATAAGGGAAGCTTTGTACGGGTCAACTAGTACCAAATTGCTCACCATGCAATAGGTGATCTTGTAGTGAAAATTCCTAAGAAGCGCTATCGGTAATTGATGTTGGTGGAGGTTTATGGCAAACTGTACTGTTCTGTATAATTACATTACTGGTCATATCTTATTGTTTGACGTAATTTCTTATCTTGAATGGTTGCCTATTTGTTTGTTAATATAATTTTTTTGGTACGTGGAAACTTGCCTTGGTACAAGCCAAGTAAAACTCGGGGTCTAGGTCCCCCCTTGGCAGTCTAGAGCTAGGTGAATATCGCAAGTTTTTTAATGCCTAATAATTAGAAATTGGAGATAGACATGTCATAAACATGGATCGACCCTTGCCCTTTTGAGTTAAGGCCCCAAGCCCCGACCATTGGGCTACTTGCCCAGGACGGGGGGAGGGGGGGGGTATTAATGTTTTATAATTAAGATTACAAACATTTACATTCCACATTATTTAAAAGACTGTCCCCCTTAACGTTACCCTACCATCCAAGTCAACCTTGGATGGTCGTCTCTATTGGTTATTTCCCTTGATTTTTGTTGCACATCCTCAATCTTCTGTCAATGAAACTTCATCAAAATCTTTTATGCTGCCTACTTATGTTTGATCTCTCTTTTTTATGACGAACTTTGATTGCTCTTTCCTCTTCCTAGTAGCATTTCATTTACTCTTATTGGGCCATTACTTACCGCCCTCTCTACCTTCAATCTTGATTAACAAAAGACCAGAATATCGTGCTAAAGTAAAGACCAGCTGACTTCGTATTTCCATTCTGATTGCATTTTCTGAACCCAACATAACTTGTTTGTGTCAAAAGTCTCTTCCACTGCACCACAATTCCAAATTGTGGTGCAGTCAGAGGGTTAATAATTATATACTAAACACGCCCCTAGCTTGAGCACTTGTTCATAGGCTAAAACCTGGACTCATAGTATTGTATCTTATTTATTTATTTATTCTGTTTTAAAATTTGTGGCTGGTTAGATTTGAATTTGGGTTAATCTGCTAATGCACTTTGAAGATACTAGCATAATGCACGTGCTTTGAACGTGGACATTTTATAATTTAATATTTTATTTTTAATAAATTAATATATAAATATTTTACAAAGTTATCTTATTACACTATGATTAAAAATTTGAAGTTACACTACTATTAGTACTTATACTATTATTAACATACATTTAATAGTTATTTAAATTTGCTTATTGTTATTATGTTATTAAAAATTTTATTTAAGAGTATAATTATTAAATAATAACGTAATCGTTGGTTTAACGCTATTGAAATAACTAAACCATTTATATTACTAATATTTATGTTTTGTACAAATTTTATTACAAATATCTATTAAATAATGGAAATAATTTTTAATATTATATGACTTTATGTTGTAAAGAATAGTACCTTGTTCGATAATTAATATCATCTTAGCAATAAAAAATTAGATAGTATAAATTAAAAATACTATAATTTAGGAGAAATACTTTATATAAAAATATTGGATCCTTGAAGTTTATGGGACATTTACTTTCCAACAAAAAGTGCATGTATCATAAATTTTAAGGATCCAATATTTTTATATAAAGTAATTTTCCTAAATAAAAGTATTTTTAATTCAGAACATCCAATTTTTATTACTAAGACGATACCATAATATCAAAAAAGGTAATAGTCCTTACAATATAAAGAATCAATCCATATTAATGCTATTATTAATAATTATAATTATGTACAATAATTTATTAAATAAATAATTTTGTTATTTCATTAAAATTAATAATTCCTTATAATGAATTATAATATATTTATTAATTTTATTATCATTATAAATTATTAATATATTCTAGTGAATGACCAAGTATTTTAGGGAAAAGAAAAGAAAAGTATATGTCTCATAAATTTCAAGGATCCAAATATTTTTATAAAAAGTAATTTTCCAAAATAAATATATTTTTAATTTATAACATTCAAATTTTTATTACTAAGACGATATTAATTATCGAACAAGGTAATATTGTTTACAACATAAAAAAATAACCCCCCATTTATACTATTATTGATAATTATAATTATGTACTATATAAATAAGTAATTATCACTATTTTATATAATTAATAATTCTTTATAATAACTATCATATATTTATAAATTTTTTAATCATTATAAATTATCAATAAATTCTAGTGAATGACCAGATAATTTGAGAAAATGAATAAACACATAGTTAATGATAGGTTATGGATCATTTAGCTTTATAAATAATGGTATAATGTGAGTTATAAAAAAATTGAGAGGGTAAAAAAGGAAATCAAAAGTTTTGACATGGGTATTCTCTTTTATAAGTAGTATAGATAGTGAGGGTTAAGGGTTGTAAATGTAATCATCTACTCTAAAAGAGTGGATAGAGAGTGATAAATAACATTATCTTGGGTTTTTGTCTTATTAGACCCCAAATTATTTCTTAATTGCCGACCCCAAAATTTCATATTTCTAATTTACACCTGAATTCTTTAAGCTTTTTAATTAGCACCCTCTAATTGGATTCTATCCATAATCATTATCTTAGTATGACTAAATTCTTGAAATTAATAGATTTGGGGTTGTTATTTGAAATTTTGGAGAATTGGGGGAATTACTATATAACTAAGAAAGAATTAGGGTCTAATATCCCTAAACTCTATTTCTAAGGTTGTTATTTAAAACAACTTAAAAGATTTAAATTAGAAATATGAGGATTTTGGAGCCTAATATACTTAAGAATTATGGGTTTAATATGACAAAAAAATCCTAATATCTATCTCCTCTTTCTGGGGAATATTGAGTGCTTTTCTTAGTGCCGTACTGTAGAGAAATCTGATTGTGGGTTATATCAGTACTCTGGTGTTCTGCATATCCATGATGGAACAAGTTTTTTTAATTTGTTGAATACGTCTCAGGAGTTGAACAAAGAAAAGGTAAAGGCAGCAGCTGCAATCAAGTCACTCCAGGAAAAATCTGAACAAAAACTTCAGGAGGAATTACAGTGCAAGGTGTGGTGCTGGCTTTTGCATGATATTACTGAGTGGGCCCAAGTGATTTTTTTTGGTGGGTTTGTATTTGCGTGAGTCTGAACAAATAACTTGGTTACTATTGAGCTTATGCAGGAAGAAGAGGCTGATATACTGCTGAAGAAAGCTCAGGAACTAGCAAAAGCAGAGCTAACTGCAGCCATTGCAAGTGAGAAAGCATCTCAGATAGAAAGAATTGCTGAAGCAAGCATGAATGTATGACTTGTACTCATTCTTTTCATTCCTTTGTTATGCTCAACAAGTATAATTCTATCGATTCGCTGGAGCTCAGGATGTCTTGTAGTCTTATTTTGTTTGATATACTTAAGTGGGTTTCATTAATATGTAGATAGATGCCTTGTGCATGGCGTTCTTTGCGAGGTCTGAAGAAGCTCGTCAGACTCATTCGGTTCACAAACTTGCTTTGGTAAATCATTTATTCATCTTCTTCCAAATATTTAGTTCCTCCTTCTGCATGTGCCACCACAGGCATGCACATAAAACAAAAATAGCAAGGTGAGCTAGAGAAGAAAGTAGGGGAAAAATCTGAGAAAAAAGAATAAAGAAGATGGCTATGATGAAGGAAAAATAAGAAAAAGAAAAAGAGCATAAGAAGAGCAGGAAAATTGTCAAGGCAATATTCACTTATCATGTTGCTTAAATATGTCGATCTGTAGGGAACTCTTGCGTTAGAAGATGCCCTTTCTAAAGGGATGCCGATTAGAGCGGAGGTAGAGACATTGCACAAGTCTCTTGAAGGCATTAATAAAGACTCACTTTTGGATTTGGTGCTGTCGTCCCTCCCAGAAGACGTATTAAACTATGGGACCGATACACGTATGCAGTTGAATCAAAAGGCAAGTAAGCATACTAATTTTGCTGTTAATTCACATTAGCTGTATATTGCTCATCAAACACTACATTTCCCATTGGTTTTGTAATATTCTTTTATATCCTTTCGTGTTTTCTCACTGCTTTTTAGGCATAATCCTATGATGGGTTGAGTCATCAAAAACTTGTATATTGTCATTTATGGTGGCCCTTCACACTTGATGTGACTTGATTTTTAATAGTTGGCCAGCAGTTACCTTTATGATTTTGCTAAATTGATGCCAGTAGAACCTTCTGATGACTTGATGCAGCATTTGTGATGTCATATTTTGCCTGATGCCACTTCTGGTGTTTTATTTGCAGTTTGATTCATTGAAGGGAACCTTGCGTCATTTTAGCCTCATTCCAGCTGGTGGTGGTGGTCTTCTAGCTCATTCTGTAGCCCATATTGCATCATCAATAAAGGTAAAACTTAAGGCAGCATTTAAAAAGCGGATATGGTAGGGAAAAATTGAGACTGGTCGGGATATGGTTTCGGATACGGTTATCACAGCTCTAAGCTATATATTTGGAGACATGTTTGCTGGGCCTATTAGTGCAAAAATGAAATTCATAGAGCTGATCCAATAGGAATATATTTGTAGTCAAGTTTATTTGTTATCAGTACGGACTTTCCAGTTAAAATTCTTAACCTATTCGGTCTGTTGGTGAGTGAGTTTTGAGTAGGGGGTTGACAGTGGATAGAAAGCTTTTCCCATTTCACAGACATGTTTTTAATTATTAGTAGAGGGAAAAGTGTCAATTTAACTGAGCCCATAAATTTGAAATATAAGGGTCTGCAGTCATTCCTCTGCAATATTTGTAAAATTTCTACTGGCCTGATGATTTTTGTTATCCATTTGCTAGACATGATACTTCGGTTACTATGGGTCTAGAACTGCTATCACGCTCAACTAGTTTATATCATGTAATGCTATTCATTAAGAAACAATTAAATTTAAGCGAATTTTTAATTCATGCCCAGAAATTTAGCTTACTAAATGTTTTTCTTTCTTTCCTCTTCAGATGAGAGAGGATCAATCTGGACATGGCATTGAGTCAGTAATCAGTAAAGTCGAAAACTACTTGGTGCATGGTAAATTTGCAGAAGCTGCCGAAACTTTAGAAGGAGGCGTACGTGGCAGTGAAGCAGAGGAAGTTATTGCCGAGTGGGTGAGGCAGGCAAGAAAACGTGCTGTGGTAGAGCAAGCCCTCACTCTGCTTCAATCGTATGCTTCTGCCATCGCCTGTTAGTACTCATCCCTTGAATCGTTATCGGTTCTACTGAGTCCTTGGATGTTATTCCCAACTTTTGATTAACTATTCGATAGGAGACTAGGCAAAGTTGTTGTTTTAAGTAGCTCGGATCATATCGAAACCCGATTATTCGGTTGAATAAATAAAAAGTTTTGTTTACCATAATCTTCTTGTTCTTTCTTTTAACATACTGATGGTTACTTGGCTGTGATTAGTTGCTATAATGGTCAAGGTGTGCCTGGTTGCTGAAATTTTTTATTTGCTGGACCTGAAGGAAGACTGAATTGAAGATTTTATTTTAAAGCATACTAATCAAAGTTTTGAAGACTGAATTGACAACTGAATGGGAAGAGGTTTGGCCTTTTCTTTTATGTGCTTTTTTTTATATTTTTTTGGTGGTGGTG